GCACAACTGCAAACAATTAACAATTCCATTATAATAACAACAACAACGACAGCAGCAGCAGCAGCAGTAGCGGCAGCAGCAGCAAAATCATAAAACCAAAGAGACACCCAAAAAAGAGTTATTTTCTATACAAAAATTATACAGCAGGCATTTGCTTAGTAACTGTAATAAGTAGCCAATGAGCGAGAGAGAGAGAGCGGATAGATAAGTGAGAGCGCGCAAGTAAGAGCGGGCGAACGTGAGAGCTGTAGCAATAGAAATGCAAGAAAGCGTGGAAGAGTTGAAAGACTTAATTATAGTGGAATGTAAAGAAGATAAAAGAAAACCAAAAATTATGCGGTTTTCGACAAAGGCTGAATAATTGCCAATTAAAAAAAGAATCGAGTGATCAAACGATTTCGTCCTTAGCTCAAGCGCCACTGCTCTCTTCTCTCTTCAGCTTCGACGGCTGCTCATCTTCTTCTGCTGCTGCTCACATTGCCTAGGTGCTTGGCAACTATTTAAGTTCTTGGACCAAATTGAGCTCTTGAGGCCCTGGGAATCTATCGTGTCTTTAAGTCAACTAGTTTATAATAATTTGTATGCAAATCTCTAAAAGATATAGTCAAAGACCTGATTTATAAGCTTGACGCGGCGATGTTTGCAACTTTCATTTTATTTTATTTCCTTATTTATTTATTTTTATTTCGTTTTTTTTTTTTTTTCAATTATCTTGTACACTTATGACTTTTGCACACACATTTAACCGTTAGTTTTGCACTTCCGCTATGTATTTCATTTTCGTACTTGAAATTTTATTTCGGTTTCGCTAATAATTTTCAGTTTAGCGCAAAAATTGCGCAAGCGACAAATAAGTTTTGTGAATTGTTTTTGGTTGTTGTTGCAACGACGAGGCGGAGAGTGGGAAGAATGTGGAGAGGAGGTTTAAAGTTGACGAAGAAGATGATGAAGTAGAAGGAGAAGAAGTAGCCGCAGCAGCCGCAGAAATAAACACGAATATAAATTATATTCATGAACGAAAACGTACATAAGCAAAAGACAAGAAGACGACGCTCAAAGCGAACAAAGCAGAGTCGAAAAGGCACAAACCGAACACACAACGAATTTGCGTGTGCGTAAAAGAGATGGCGAACCGACGAAACGTCGACCCAAAAAAGCAACAGTAACAACAACAGCACAACCAAAAATGAAGCAACAACAACAAACAACTTGAAGACTATTTAAAAACATTGCAGCGGGTGGAATATTTTGTTGTTGTTTTTGGTTGCTTAGTTTTTCTTCCTATTTGCAGTTTTCGACAAACAATTTCAACTATTTGCCATCCACACATAGCTCGGCTCGTCATTTTGCATAGATAAAACGCACAGCACACAAATTATAATAACGGTGAAGACGTAGCCGAACCGAACGAGTCAGCAACAACCAGCAACAATTGAAGACGACACGACAAACGCATGCGCGACACGTTTACATTCACTCTCACTACGAGCGTCGTTTGCTCGTCCCCACGTCGCGCTCACCAAGTTCGCCCATACAGCAAGGAGAGCGCCAAACGTCCGTAGCCGCCAAGAGTTCGTTGAGTACTGAAATATCTGCTGGTGCCTGGCACCTCAGCTGGGCTAGGGAGCAAGCAGCACGCCAGCCGCTGTGCCACCAAACACTGTTAATCGACCTCCCCTCGCGCTCTTCAAAGAAACCGGTCGAAGACAACGCCGCTGTCTTTAAAAACGCTAGTGTGAACTGTCTCTCTCTCTCTCACGCTCTGTCTCTGCCTCACCGTCTCCACTTCTCTCTTTCTCTCGCATTATTTGTTCACAGTTTTCATCCCCCCACCGGGTAGGCTCATGCTCCATTTCGTTGTATGAGCTTGATCTCCGTCTCCAGATCCGTTTTTAAATGAGTTTCGTCATTTTCATTATTGACAACGTCTCTTATTAATCATTGTCATGTCAACGTTTCCCACAGGAACGCAAACATATGTACATATGTATGCGAACATTGTTGTCATATGGGCATTTCCAATCCGTGCCAAAGAGCGTCCACCACAAACGGATGTATGCAAAGAGCAGCTAGCTGGAATGTGCTAAAGAGTGAGCATCTTCACAACATCTTCAGCTGTTCGACCGCTCGCACGCACTAAGAGAGTGACCAAAACGCCGCTCTTCGCGCTAATTAAGCAGTCAAGTCATTTGAACTGCAGCAGTCGCCATCAGCTGTTTGCTATGTAAATGTGCTATAATATTTCAGTTTTTTTATTGTATTTGTTTTATGCGTTCTTCATGTGGTTAATGGCTTGTTTATGAAGATTTATGATTGGGCGATTTATTTCAGCCAAATTGTATAATTGTTGAGTGCCAGTGCAGTTCACTTATCAACCACATGAAATAGGTTGAAACTTGTTTAGTATTAGCAGCGCAGTTTTTGAGCTTTTAAATTTCTGTAATAGAGAAATCTCTGAAAACAAATTATGCAAATTACAAAAATTAGTTCAGTTTTCATTAATCTTAACAAAAGTTTGAAATAGGGGAAAAACTTGATTTCAAATGTCTGGAAAATAAATTGAATTATTCCTTTGCATTCAAAAGTCAAACAATGTGTAAATTAAAAAAAAAAAAAAAAAAAAAAAAAAACAATGCTATATAATTTGATAATGTTAGATTTTATTGTCAGCAAATTTTAGATATCATCTTAAATTAATCTCTGTAAACCAATGTATCTAAAAAAACTTGAATTTGAAAACTTAATTTTGAAATATCTTAACAATTTTATATTATACCAAATTCAATATATTTTCAAGACTTATAACTTCTTGAGATTGGGTGCAAAAAAACTTATAAAATAATCCTTAACATACAATTTCATCATCTTCATCATTATAAAAATAATTTATTTTTTATTTTTTTAATATTCGCTAAATATAAACTTTTATATCTATTCCAAACAATCATTCTAATTTTTTCATTCAATTGAATGTTCACTGTACTTAATTATATCATTTTATTATTTCTCTTGTTTTTTATTATAGCTAGAGTTTATCGTGTTTGTGTCATAAAATTTGAACGCTCAATTGAGTTGACCAAAAACAGCAGCAGCTGCACACCGATAGCAATCGACGTAAGTCAATCTTAACTCGATAAACGATATGAACGCTCCAGTGGAAGGCCTCTACATAACTAATTTTGAGTGTAGCGATTGGCAGCGTGCAACGACTTTAGCTAGCATATAAAACTTAATTAATTTAATTACTTATCTAGCGAGTGCTAAATCAAAACTACAGAAAAAAAAACGTAAAAGTATGTGATTTATTTTATTTATTTTTTTTTTTTTTAATGGCAAACATGAAATAGAAAACTTGAAACAATTCCCATAGACTAACATAATAAATAATTATTTCTTCTTCTTCTGCTTGAAGTGCACTTTAAATTCAAGAATGCCTTCAATGCGTGTAATTTGTATATATTTATTATCATTTTTTTTTCATTTATTTTTTATTTTTTTGAGCGTTGTGAAACATTAATAAATATTTATAGATGAGCTCTCGGCACGCTGCACTTGTTAGGCGCATCGAGAATTGAGAACTGAGAATCGCGTATAGAAGATAAATAAGAATTTTAATTGATTTTAATGTGCACAGCTGCACAGCATGCATATGCATAGGGGAAGGGGTGGTGCGCGGGAGGGGGCACCGGAGGTGCCTGTCGATCGAGCTGTTGACATACCCATAGAAAAATTGACATAAAATATCGTCTTAACATTATCCGCAAACGTCTGTCTCAAAATAATGATTGAATTGTGCAGCCTGAACTTTGGCCAACTGGTTGACAATCGCTGATGCTATATAGAAACGATAGAAAATCGCCGAACAAGTTTTTTTTTTTAATTTTTAAATACATCTATTAAATAGCTCTGTAAACGAAAAATTCCCAAGAGATTTGAGGTATTGAAGTTAAAAATTACATTTAAATTAAATAAATAAATAAACAACAAACATTTCATTAGCAATTAGATATAATAATTTTTTATATCTAATTGGTATAAATATTTTGCTATTACTTTTATCAATTTTTTTTTATGCAAATATGCACATTATTTTTTTTTTAATGTCTGTTTTAAAATGTAATATATCTATAATTTTACATTAAATATTGCATAATTTAATCTTTTTACTAATAGTTAACTAAAATACACATTTTGTAAAATTTGTTTTAAATAGTAATTTAAATATTTTCTTTAGAAAAGTATATATATTTTTTTATTATTTTGTTTTTTTTTTTATTAAAGTACATTTTTATATATTATGCTCATCAACAAATCTTATATTGTTTTAAATGTTGACTCATTTATAAAATTATTAATAACTACTACTATTATTTCTTATAATTATTCGATAAATTTTCACTTTTAATATAGTATCCAAATATATTTTTTTTTACAAATTAAAATATGTACATGTATTGCTATAATAATATTCATTTTTTTACAACAATGTATTTATTTTTTCTGCTGCTATATAAATTCCATAAATATTCTTTTTATTTCACTTCACTTTTTTGCTGACTTTTTATACATAATTATTTACAACTCACTAAAATAGACATTGTTCTTCTATCCGACACTCCCATTATTATTATTCTTCTCGCTCTTTCTTGTTATCCAGAAATGTACTTCAGCCATTTAAATACAGATAAACGAGAAAGCAAAAGACCACGACATTGTGCTAATTACGGCATTCCGAGGTTTGAGTGCCCGCAAATACTCGAAGTCAACTTCAAGAGCTACGCACAGAGAATTCAAGAATAAAGTCTTAAGAAACGAGTAGAAAAACATGACAAAAAAAAAAAAAAATTATTGGGTTCTACTTTTTTTTTTTAATGCGCCTGGCAACAAAAGTGAATGGTATAATAAATTGACAAGCTTTATCTGCCAATCTATATAGAGTTATACATTTTCAGAGAAAGAAATACAACTTGTGACGGAATTTTTTATTAATTAAGAAGCTAAAAAATTGAAAAATATATATATATATATATATAATTGTATATATGTATATAAATTGAAGTGCGTGGTAATTGAGTTTAGAGGTAAAAACTGAAAACATGGATAAATTGAACTGAAAATAATTTGCGCAATGGCAAGAGCTGTGCATAGCTGAATAAACGATTTTTTATGGTTTCAATTTTGAATTTAATGCAATTTCAATTTGGATTTATTTTTATTATTATTATTTGTGTGTGTGTGAGTATGTGTTACTTACACTGTTTTTTTTTATTTATTTTTTTTATTTTTGAATGTCTTGCAAATCGAGAGCTACGCAGTTTACAGCTCACATTTGACAACGTCGAAGGTCAGGCGAATGCTCCCCAACTACATGCCATGACTCGACGCACAATTTTATTATAAAAAAAACTATATACATACACATATACATATACATTTGTATGTACATATATATAAAATATTAATCAGACAGGTGACAATAACAAGAGCAACGGCGAACAACAATTTAACCCACTTGTGTGTAGCGTGTGTCGGCTCAAACACAACAACAACAACAATAGTAACAACAACAAAATGGAACACGCGCCATTGCCATGGAGCGCACATTGCGCATACGCACCGTCTGACGGCCGTTGGAATGGTTAGACACTGCGGCTAGCTAACAAAAAGCAAACACACGCACACACATACACATTGACAACTTAAAACTAAAGCTAAGTACTTTAACTAACTAAACAGCAGCTAGTAGATAGCTAGCTAGCAAACGGTAGCTTGTTAGCAAACAGTTTATGAGCGAGTGCGAGTGCGTCGTCGCGTCGCTCATAAACTGAATCAATTTGATTGAAGCCGTTCAAGATTGTCAATTAAAATTTAATATATGTGTTAGTTCACAAAAAGAAAAGAACAACTACAAGACATTTACTATAAAATAAATACGGACTCGCGAACAATTTAATTACAATCATTTTATTTATTTATTTATTACTCTTAAGCTATCCGAAAAAAGTAAGAGTTCTGCTCTTGTCCCGATTGCTCGACTGCGAGACTCCCCGAAGCTTTAAAAAAATGTATACCACGCGCTCTGCGTACTTATTTGTTAACTGAATCCGTTCACAATAAAATTTTCAGAATTTGTTGATGACATTCATATACACCTACAAAATTTGTCAGAAATATATGTACATAAATAGCCATAAATCTCCATATATAATATTAATATTAATATAGCTTTTAAGTAGATAAATTATTGTAATTTTCTGTTTAGATTAAGTTATCAATAAGGAAGCGGTGCGCTAAGCTGTAAATAAATATCATTTATAATTTCTCTTAAAAAAAAAAACACATTCATATATGTTTATTTGACGATTTTACAAAATATTTAAAGTAAATCGAAATCATATAAAATACAAATTAATCAATATTTACACTTTGTAAACTCTGGCATTAAGAATTAAATGGGTTCAGGTATAAATAGTAGTTTCATCTAGTCTCTAGCTCTTTCTCTAGCTCTTCAATGGGTCTCATAGTCCTGGTCCTGGACAAGTAGGCTCAGATGGGCGCATTCATTGCATTCTTACAAAACCAATATACCCATTTATCTTTCATGAATGAGCATAATTACATCTACTACAAACCCATTGCACTCCAACCTCAGCTCGACGAGTTAGTCGGAAATGTCACTTGAAATGCCTGACACAAATATCACAAATATCGATATTATAGTATATGGATTAAAAGCTGATTCAGTGTGGAGCGTTGCCAAGTGCTCTTCCTCGCCGTCAGGTGCACAGCTTTTAAGTTCAATGATACGTCTATAAGAGATTCATTAATAAACTGAGCTCATGCCTAACTATAGCAACGAATTCCCTTTCACTTGTCAATGCACATGCTGCAGCAATATTGTATATAAATATTGTATATATATATAGGTATTTGATTTAGCTAATGCAATTTGGCCATAACAAGGCATTCGTACATCTCAATCAATGCGTACGTGATTCTGGCCTTAATTAACTGCACTTGGCCAAGCTAAGTAATTGTGGCCCACTGACGCGGCTCATTTTGTGACTCTGGCTTTGGCTTTGGCTCCGACTTTGACTTTGGCAATGAAAACACAATGCATTCATTATTGAGGCCCTTCATGCAAGAATGCCTCACAGCTGAAGGATCTGCGCATGCTTGAGCTTCAATAAAACTATCAATAAAGTGAAATGATTCATTGACTGACTAAAGACAGGCAGCTGCTCGCCGCACATTTATTGGCTGCACAATTAATTAAACACTCAAGCCGCAAGGTAATTGCAAATAAATTGTACACGTGCAAACTAAAAAAAAAATGTTTTTATAAGAAGTGTGAGAAATGTTTATATGAAATAAATAATAAATATATTTATCGGGCTTGTTATTAATAAATATTTTATTACTTTATTATTATTAAACATGAGTTATTATTATTATTATTTTTTTTTTTAATATTTACAAAATAATAACAACTTGTATTTCAGTCTGAAAAATATTAAAGAAATTTAAAATTCTATGCTTGGCTGCTAAATTATCATTGAATATATAATTGTATTCAATTTTAGATTACATTGCATTCTAACACCAATGTAGATCTCAATTATAGGCAAGCGTGATATACAAATAACTTAAATTTAATTAAATTTATTATTTTTTTTTAAATATTTTTTTTTTTAATTTTAATTTCAAATTATTCGCTTGAATGCTATAATTCAATATCCTTTAATTTAGTTTTAGTTGATATTAAGCTTAACTTAACTAGTTAGGCATTTAATAAGTAGCATTAATATACACTTAAACGTAAACGAGCAAAATATATTTAATTGTTGACAATTTTGATATATTTTTAAATGAAGTCGAATATATGTAATGAAATATAAATCCATTTTATTTTACTAATTTTTAAAGTTTTCTAAGTAGTAATACTCTATATTCTTATCCTATTGTAGAACAAAGAAATTATACTCTAATTAAGCTGATTAAAAATATAAATACAAATTTTTTTTTAAATTTTTTTTTTAGTTACTTTTTATTTAGTTTTGTTTAATATTCTACTGTAGAGCAGAGAATGGATACTCCCGATATATTAAGCTAATTAAAAATAAATAAAAGTAATATAATTTTATTTTAGACTTATACAATGTCTATATTATATTAACATTCCCTTTCAATGCACATAATGCAATAATGTGTAAGTTTTTCCCTTAAATTTCTATTTAAATGCAACACCTAAAAGTAGGCAACATTTTTGGTTGCCGCCCAAACAAGTATGTGGCTTAAGTCTTTCGAATTACCAAACAGTTTTAGAGCCACAAGCAGACAGCTAAAGTTTTAATAGCACAAAACGAAATCTAGTCTGGCTTATGAATAATATTCTAACTAAAATATATCAATTTACCTATAATTAAATCACAATCCGTACAGATCTTGTGACGAAAATTCTGATCCAAAGACAAACTTGGATGTTTATGGCGTCTTCCGGATATAACGATGGTCTCTTGAGCGTCGTTATAGCCGGTTTCTATTATATATACTTAAATAAGCTTATGTTATGAAATTTAAAAATTATCTGGCATATTGAGCATTTTGGTTAAATCTCTAATTTCCGAATTGTTTTCAAGTGGAAACCGTTCAAGCACCTCGTCATTTGTAAGTCGCACTGGCCTCTGTTCCTCGTAGCTGCGACCAAAGACTCGCATATTATATAGCAAAAAGTCGAATAGATACATTCGACCCGGCGTCATATAATGAAACGCTACAGAATAATTCGAACAGCAATCTTTGCCCTGTAGAAGGATAATGAATGTATAAGTTTATATATATTAGCACAAGTGGAACAATTCCAAGTGGAGCACATACTGTTTCTATCCGTGAGACGCTCATCTGCCGCAACCAGTCCGGAATGCTGTCATTATTAGTGTAAACAAATTCCCCAACTTCGAGGGGAAAAATCATTGTTTTATTCTCTTCGGGCAATGCGCGCTGAGAGTCTATCAAATGCACGCCCACATTCTGAAGGCAAATTCCCATATAGTAATCCTCAATGCCCCATTCCTTGACTGACGGACAGATTTTCTCCGAGCTGTAGGCCTCGCTCATAAAGCGATGCAGTGCCTCACGACTGAGCACATATGAAGCGCCACCAGACATGTAACTCTAGCCGAGAATTAGTTGAAGAAGAATATTACTCAAGAAATTTACAAATATTACTCTCCCATAACCAGCATTGTTAAATTACGATAAAAGCAGCAAAAGGTACAAGTTGTAAGTCCTTAAATCCTATACATCCTTAGTTAAGAATATATTTTGGCACGTGTCTCAACGAGTTCACTTTCAGTTTTAGCTATTGAGTAGGTCAATAACTTTATACAGTCAAAACTTGTTGAGAACAATGCTTCAGACGTTTTTGATTAATAGAATGATAGGCTCTAAAAATTAACAATTTTTGACAAAATATGTAACTTAATATAACAAGAATTTTTTTTGTAGAGAAGCCCAGCTGAATAAGTTTGACGTCTTTGAAAGCCTAAAATGTTATGTAATAATAATATATTTTGTTATTTAAAACGTTTTAATCGTTGCAGTCGACGGGCGTGGCCGACTGCGTAATAGCCATTCGCACCAGGAATTACAATTAATATTATATCCCACATAACATACATATGTATGTCTTTAGCTAGAAATATGTGTGTATAATTTTAAAAAGTTCTTTATATTTACGTGAGTATAAATATCCTAGAGCATTTCATATTTAAGTGATTTTAAATTTTGACTGAGGACAGAATTTAAGTAAAAATATTTATATAATATAATCAGACAAACCAAGCCTAAAGCTGTTTTTCGTAACAAGGAAATTAAGAATCAACAATAAATGTTGAATACAAAAAGCTAATTTGCAATGTAAATTGAGGGACTAAAAGTATGTATATAAATGTTATATGTATATTTCTATAAAGGTATTTCGTTCACATAATCATTTGTAAAATTTCATAATTCAAAATACTCGAAAATATGCGTTTAAATCATGTGAGTGCAACCGATTGGCTATGCTAGACGAAATTACTATAAAAAGAGATCGAGCGTAGCAATTATAGCTTCAAGTTGGGGGCTTTAAGCCGCTTTGAAGGCCGTTTGGGCGTCTGCTACATAATTGATAAAGATGACGTGTCACAAATACACGTTTAATTGAAATGTGAACTTAATTTCGTTTGCTCAGCTATTTGTGTATATATTTTCTTTATATATTTCTATAAAGTAACTCTGACCTTTTTCTAAAATTTATGTGTGCTTCGCAATTTATTGTCTGGGAGAAATATTTCTTATTCAACAAAGCCCTGCCCAATAAGTTATTTAACATATGCTAATTGGGCTGTCTGATGGCCAAAAACCGAAATTAATATTTAAAAAAAAATAAAATAAAAAAAATAACAATCAAACAGAAACCTAAGCATGATAATAAATCAATGGAAATTTGAAAATCTATCAAAAGTTGAACAATAATCAAACGATTTTGTCAAACACGAAAATCTTCACATACCCTGTATTGATTTGAATTTGTTAGGGGGTACTTTATCTTTGATATAGT